CCACCTTAAACGACAATCGGCCACTGCTATGCTAGAACACTCCCCCCCCCTCCTAGCTCCTCCTAGATAATCAAATTTCAAAAGGAGATTTGAGTTAAGCGTCCCGAGACGTACACATCGATATGCATCCCATCCTAAACGACCATGGAAACCAGTTTTCCGGTAAGTTACTCTGGCGACTTTATCTGTTCACTATCTGTTGATCACCATCTTTGGTTCATCCTTCATGTTCACTTGTATAGAGTATGACAGGCAACCCTTCTGATCATAAGAAGTAATTATCTATGAAGCATTCAGTCCTCACTTTGAAAGGAAGGTATGATGATGACATACCGAGAAATTCATGGACTTTGTGAGCATTTCTGATGCTAACTTGTATCCTGGACTTTCAGATGCATCACGTTCATCGCATTTCTTGGATATTCCAGGAGAGACGAAGCATAGAATAGTCAGCACAGCCAACCAAGAGCGCATCCAGCCCTGATATTTCGTTATGGTGATGGCCGATACGATTGCTGCTATGTAACAAAGAGGAAAAGACAGCATATCAAACGAATGAGTTCAGCTTGAGGCTGAAACAAAGCAAATAACAAGGGCTTTCTTCATTGGGAAGATCAAACGCTGTAGCTGTAGCGTCAGATGCATTGTGATTCGGTCTGTTACCTTGTTTTCATACGTAGGCGTGCGAAACAGTCTCATTTAGTGGTAAAAACAAATAGTGAAGTGAAACAGACACTCATTTTTAGAATCAGAGACTATTTCTACTAGTTAAAAGGTCGGCTCGTACGCTTACGCATGCAAGAGCGCCGGCATCACAGGCTGAGCTCAACAGAGGAAATATAGTTTTTCATAGATATCCTAGAAAAAACCTGAATCAGCTATATCCAAACCTCGTATTATAAAAATTTGTTAGGGACACAGGAATTCCGGGATAGACTATTAAACCACATGAGAGCTGGCAGGCTATCGATGACCAAGGATTTCGTGCATTCATACGCCAGGACAGATTACACAAGAGAAGAGCTAGAGTATGACCGTTTCCTGCGCAAGAAGGTTGGCTTAATGAACAGAGAAGAAGGTAAGCTGGCCTACGTTGTACGTGACCTTAGCGTTCACAAGCTGAGGAACCCTCGTGACCTACCTGTCAAGGACACTGGTCAAACTTCCTCCCAGCCTCTGAAACACGACCCACCCTCCCCCATGCCCCAAGGGGTCCTGTTGACAATTCTCCTGTGGTGATCCGCTAGGAGATCAGATCAAACAATGAGAATCAAACTTTTCCGATCACCTGCGTTACAAAATATCATTGTCCGGGAACTCCCCCTTGTTTTCTGTTAATCAATGCACGTTCTATTGTAAATAAGATTCCTGACCTATACTTCCTACTTCGGCAGATGCCTCGAGCTGTGTTTGTTACTGAAAGCTGGTGCAAGCCCAACTCGATACATGATGCCACTTTAAGTTACGACTCTAGGTATGAGGTATATCGCTGCGATCGCGAGAGCAGTAGAGTTGGTGGTGGGGTTTTGGCCCTCATTCATAAGATGTTCCACACAACTTCCTAATCAAGAAAGACTTCGGGAATGTCAATACAAACATTAGTGCTAGAGTTCGATTTTTATGATGACAAGTTTATGTTAGTCCTTGCCTACCGTAGCCCATCATGCTCTACCGTGACCTTTTCAGAAGTTCATAGCTTTTCTTCACGACCTTTTGGATGGGTTCAGTGGTAATTTTATTATTCTTGGGGATTTTAATTTTCCATTGATTGACTGGGGCAGTATGACCCACAGAGGAAATGTCTCCACTACGTCGTCTCTATCTTTCCTTACTTTTGCGAAATCATTCGGCCTTGAACAAATGGTTACTAGCCCCACCCATGGTCTCAATATTTCTGGATATCGTTCTGGTCACGGATCCAAGGGTGGTTGAGGGCTTGTGCATCCTTCCCCCCTTCAGTACATCTGATCACAACTGTGTCGGGTTTAATATTGCTGGTGTCCATCCAATCCCTGCTCATCCAATTAAAAAGTACCGATGCTTCTCTAGGTGTGATTATGGCCCAATAATATCTGCGCTTTCTAAGATCGACTGGGTTGCATTAAACTGTGCTTCCAATGATTCTAACATGTTTTACACCGAATTTCTAAACATATGCCACAGCCTAATAGATAAGCATGTCCCGCTTGTAAGCAATAGAGAAAAAACTGATAAGTATCCCAAGCGAGTCTTATTTTTGCATTCCAAAATCAATCGCCTTCACTCGCACAACTCCACGCACAACCGCAAGCTAGTAACGTATACAAGGAGACTCAAACGCGCACTCTTGCGTCATCAGCTACTTGTCGAAAAGAGATTAGCACTGCGCAAAAATAGCAAACGCTTTCACAGCTATTGTAGGAAGAAACTGAAGCTTCGCTGACAGAATACCGGATATGATCGGCCCTGATGGGGTCGCCATTAAAGACGATGCTGCAAAAGCCAATTTATTCGCTGATTATTTTCAGTCCGTCTACAAAACGTCTTGCACTTCTGGTCCCAACTTGACAACCACGACAGCTGAAGTTTTGGATTGGGTGGACATATCCAGCGATATTGTTTATAACACACTTCGTAAGCTTCCAAATAGAGTTTCTACCTCCCCTGACAACATCCCCTATATTTTTCTGAAGAATACTGCTCTTGCGATTTCAGCGCCTCTAACTATATTGTTCAATAGAGTTTTACTTCACGGCGATGTCCCAGAGTTGTGGAAGATCGGGCTAGTCAGACCAGTTTACAAAAAAGGTTGTAAGAAAGTCTGTGGCGAATTACAGGCCCATATGCCTAACAAGTTCCATTAGTAAAGTTATGGAGCGTATTCTCTGCCGAAAATCACTAGCTATGTAATGGAAAACAAGCTACTTCACGACAACCAGCACGGGTTTCTTAGGCGTAGATCTACTATGTCAGCTCTGATGTCTACGGTCCCCATTTGGCAAAGAGAAGTCGATAAGGGAAATTTCGTATCAGTATGTTTTATAGATTATGCCAAGGCCTTCGATTCTGTATCGGTTCCTCTGCTGCTCAACAAGCTGGAAGCGTACGGTATCAAAGGCCGACTACTCCAGTTTCTTAGACTCCTTTCTCACTGGTAGAACCCAGTCAGTTCTTATTAACCAGTCTCAATCCTACGTATATCACACGCCGAGTGGCGTACCTCAAGGCACGTGCATTGGGCCGCTTATGTTCATTCTATATGTGAATGACCTAGCCAACATTATACCGTCAGATACTTTCTGCAGTTTATACGCTGATGACTTGAAACTTTTTACCATCAACGACTGTCATAAGCTGCAAGATGCTCTAGACTGTGTCGAACGCTGGTCCAAGCAGTGGGACTTAGACATTTCTATTCAAAAAACTGCGATTATGGGCATAGGTAGAAATCATCCAGACTTTCCATTTACTATAGGCGGAAAACGACTGGTTCGAGTAAATCAAATACGAGATCTTGGTGTTGTTTACAGTGATACTCTAGATTTCAGTAGTTTCATACACGATCAGGTAGCAAGAGCAAGTTCAAGAGCTAACTTTATCCTTAGGGCCTTCAAAACGCGTGACCCTGTTTTGCTTTTCCGCTTATTCAATCTTTATGTCAGGCCAATCCTTGAGTATTGTTCGCCCGTCTGGTCCCCGTACAAACGAACGCTTATCG